CAGGCCCGTAGCCGCCTGCGCCACCGCGGCCCGAGGGCGTGTGCCATCCGCCACCCGTCCTCCCTGCCATTTTCCGAGCGGTGGGAGAAGGGCGTCCTTGAGTGACACGCAGGGTGACTCAGGAGGTTTGAGAATCTGCGAGGAGCGTCGCTCTCCGTTGCATTGTGATCCGTAATACTTAGGGGGTCGGATGCGGACTCCCCGAACCTCTCAGACGCTGCGAGGGCCGAAGAAACTTTCTCCTACCCCCGAGGTTCTTTCATATGGTCTAATATTCAAACAGATGCGAGATTAACAAGAGAAAATGACCCAATTTAAAGATATGTATGTGTGGGAACCAAACATACTGAAGAGTCAGAGACCCCTCCACGCACACACACGCGCGCAGGAGAGGGTCAGAGACCGGAAAGGGGAAACGGTGGGGCTTTGAGGGTCCCTGCAGGAGGCTAAGAGCCCACACTGCAAATGGAGGCGTGCCCTGCCCTATGGTGGGTCAAAGTGGTCACCTCTCATACTCTCCCATTCCGGCCAAGGCCCCTAATCCAGGCTTAGATTCTAGGTGGTTATGGGAGGGACAGGAGGTTCTCTTGAGCCCGCTGCTAGTGTTGCCTTTAGCTCCATCTGCACGGGGCAGAAGCACATCTTGGGGTGACTTGTCTGAACCCCCTTCAGTGCAGCACGGTGCCAGCGGAGGTTAACAGCCTGGGCCTGGGCTTCTCCAGCCCACTTTCTCTGGTCCGGCTACTACACTGATTAGCTGGTAGCCACGTGGGGCGACTGGCCTGCTTTGATGCTGGACTTTTCATCCGCAGAATGGAGGTAATATCCATTTCAGCGCTGGTGAGAAAAGCGATGATACCTATGAAGCGTTCTGAAACAAAGCCTGGCCTTTAACGTGACTTAAATGTCAGTTATGAAGTCCACCGTGGTGAGAGCTAGAAGCGAGGTAACCCGTTGGTGAGGCGGGGCTTTGACTGAACAGGGAATTTTTCTGTAGTGACAGAAAAGCTCTGTATATCTCTCTCAGGGTTTGGGCTACAGAGGTGTATGCCTTTGTCAAAACTCATGGAATGGTACGCTCAAGATTTGTACATTTCACTGCATGTAAATTTATCTCAAAAAAGAACATGAAAATATTGGCTACTGTTTTTCTAAAGATTTACTCTTAGAAACTTTCAAACATACAGCATAGTATTAAGTATAGTCACATTTCCAGGACCTATTTACCTTATGATTGGAAGCTGGTACCTTTGGCCACCTTCACCCCCATCCTTCCCCCGCCCACACTGGCACCCCCAATCTGTTCTCTGTGTCTCGAAAATTATTGTTCGAGCTGTAGACTCTAATGGAAACCGTAGAGCTATTTTAGGTCCAATCTCCAGATTTTGCTGATAAGAGAAATGAGGCCTAGAGATGTAAGTAAACTTTGGGGGCAGGGGTGGGGGGA